GAATAATAAAAAAGTGTTTTTCTTCCCCTGGTTACTACATTATAAACCCTTTGCAGACAGGGACTGTGCTTTGTTTATCTTTTATATAATCTGCATTTTGTAACATATAGTAAGATTTTGGGGAGAAGAGACGCAGGAAAGGATTTAGGATACACAAAAGGGGTGAGGAATTTTACATTCAGCTATATTCATACTCTTTATTCTCAAAGGTAGTACTTGCTTAAATCTTTCTGTGGGAGATGAGTGAATTTGAAAACCAATCATCATGATCAAATTCTAGCCCAACAGAAATTTTGACCACCTTTAAGTAGATACATAAACTACAATTAACTGAGATACTAATGTACTCCATTTGCTTTTTAGTTTCATGTATTTTTGGTACAGAGGAAAGAAAAATTACTGTTTTTGTTTTTTGAACATTTGTGCAGTTGCCTATGTAACGGGCTTTAAATTTACAGCTGTGGAGCCAGGTGTCCAAAAATGGAAACTTGTTTTCTTATAATTAAATTTAGCTTAACTCTCTGAGCTCAGATACACTGGGTAGTTAATCTTAATCTTGCGGATTTAGGAAAATCAATATATTTTGGATTATAATTCAGTTTCTTTAGAAAAAATAGTTAATATCCTTTTCTCTTGTATTCTTCCTTTCTCCTCAGAGTCTTTGTTTTATGTATTCACATTATCAAGGGAGGAAATTGTTGATGGAGTATTATTCCTTGCCTGATGGATTATAGCATAAATTCTTTTCCCCTTCAGACTTTTCCATTCATATATTTAAAGTCCACCTTCAGGAATTAAAAGGAAAAACTAGTACCTTACAATAAAATCTGGCTTTTACAAATAAAATGTGCTTCTACTTTCAGTCTATTCTTTCGGTTATAGATTTATAAAATTCTACTTTGGAGGTCAAATACCAATAAATTAACTGGATTTTGTCTTCTATTACACTTTCCCTGGGGCAATAGATTTGACCTTCAAATTCTGGCTTTAATTGTGGAAAACTGAAGAATTAAGAAAAATTATAATTTTTCAGAAAAAGCATTTCAAAATCTTATTGTACAAAAATTGCTGCACTGGTTAAAGGTGAATTAGAGAAGCTTACAACAAATGAAATGCCTTTTAGTCAAAGATCAGTTCCTTTACTGTCCTGTGTATTGTTATTTTCCAGCATAATAGAAATCACCCTTTACATCTCAGGATGGCTATAAAATGATTGATAGAACTTACTAGTAATTCAGCAATTCTCTGCTCTTCAATGAACACATTTCAGCATTTGCCACTAACATCACACCATTCCACCACTCACCTCAAGTCAAATGTTAAGCTGATATTCTAAAGCTGTTAAATCTTCCCTATATGTCAATACTTCAAGCATGATATTCTAAATATGGCTTTTCTATAATAACATATTCTCTTTCTTTCAAATCTCATTTTTAAAATAATGTAATTACTGAATTCAAGAACATCTACAGTTGATAAGTTAATTAGAGGAGAGTTTCTAATGATGTTTACCACGTCTAATGAGTAAACCTATTCCATCAGTGAAGTCTTAGGAGATACAACAGGAGGAAGTTTTACACAAAGTACTTGGTATTTTTTTCTTTCCTGGAGGTTTAAGGGCTATATAGCTGGTGTAAAATCTCAAGCAGTTCATGAAGATCTTTTAGCTACTTAAATTTACTTGAAATATGAATAGCAAAGAAATAACCATTTTTAAGATATTAGTTTAATGTTTAGTTATTGTGCATATGTGGGAGGTACCCAACGTTTTGACTTTATTTTTCTGGCATTCTATGTTTAGTTTCATGCAAATAGTTGTTGCTAACATTCTGGGAAACATTCAGGGTCATGAGAAAGTGTCACAATAATGGAAAATTTGCAAACTTTCTCTGAAACTTTTAGAAATTCCACAGATTATTTAGGCATCAACTCCAATGTTCTTATTACAGTGGCCTCAAATTAAGTCTGGTTATACGCTTTTTGCCACTTATTTTACTTGTTGTTGTTTCATATTATGTATGTTTGTTTAGGACTTTTATTTCTATATCTGACTTTACCTCTTTAATTCCTCAACAAGATTAACACCATGACTTCTGACAGCATTATTTAATTGCAAAGAATAACCATACAACCTTGTGTAAAGCCAAACAAAAAAGAACCAGAAAAATTCCTGCTATATTTTTATTCCCTGCTTTAAATAATAAAATAAATTGGTGGGCATATATATCATTGTTCTATAGAAGAGATGAACACTCAATACACTGTTAGTGAATTTTTTTGTATATTTTCTCCTGTGCAAAATTCACTAGGAAACAAAAGTTTGTGGCAACTATGGTTTCATCTTTAATTAAGCAGAAATTACAGAGTTTATTATATAATTAATCTTCTAAGAATGAACATTGTTTTTTTCCCCTAAATATTTTTTCACTTGTGTAGGACTGAGAAATCTAGCTCTGCAATCTAAAATTAAGCACCTTTAGTGAATATAGATTAAACATTCATTGTATACATATACATTGTATTTATTTCCTAAAAAAAACTTGCCAATGTACTTGGAAAATGATAGTTTTTTAATGTGTCATTAAAGTATACCTCTGTGGACTTTTAAAAAACACTTGATTATTATGCCTTCTACACTCAAATTTGTACTTCCATTCTGGGGGAAATATGATGGTGTTGATACACAGGTGCTTTCTATTGAGATGAGACCATGCCTGGATCTTTTATAGTCCTTAATGATACATCCATAACTGAATGCTACAAATTAGGTTAAAACCCTAGTGAATTGGCTGGGTGCAGTGGCTCACACCTGTAATCCTAGCACTCTGGGAGGCCAAGGCAGAAGGATCACTTGAGGTCAGGAGTTTGAGACCAACCTGAGCAAAATCAAGACTCAATCTCTACTAAAAATAGAAAAAATTAACCGGGTTTGGTGGTGCATACCTGTAGTCCCAGCTACTCGGGAGGCTGAGGCAGGAGGATTGCCTGAGCCCAGGAATTTGAGGTTGCAGTGAGCTAGGCTGATGCCATCGCACTCTAGCCCGGGCAACAGAATGAGACTCTGTCTCAAAGAAAAAAAAAAAACAAAAAACAAAAACCTAGTGAATTTATAATGAAAATTTTCAGTCTTTAACTTTTTTCATGTAAATGACCTAACTGTCCTTGTTATGAGTTAAACTGACATAATTTCAGGCCACAGAAGTTTCTACCTATGTTTATAATCTATAATTTAAGATTTAGACAAAATAATTTTCTGTTCCCAGGTTTGCCTTATAAGAGAGTCTTCATTCACTCATTCAACAAACATTATCGTCAGCCTAACAAGGGCCCAACATTATAACAGATATTAGATACAATACCTCAAGGAATAAGATAAAACTCCTGCCTTCAGATATATTTCACTTTCTATTAGAGAGATAGTTTTATAAGTAGTTCATTAAAACACAGGAAGAAGCTCTAATGGAAGCATATAAACCATTTTATGGAAATCGCAAATATTAATAACATGGAACAATGTTTGTCTTATAGGGAATGAGGAGGTCAGTAGGGATTTCCTGAGGAAGAAACATTTGATTTGTGTCTTAAAGGAATAGTAGGAGTTGAGCAAGCAGACAAAAGGAGATAGGCAGTCTAGGTGAAGGTTCTAACAGTTCCATGGGACAAAGGTATGGAAGAACATGGAAGATTTTGGAAGTCATAAAATACATATAACTGAAGCATGAGGGCTACAGAGGAATGATAAGAGTCAGGTCAAAAAATGTCAACAGGAACTATATTCTATGGTAGTTCAATTTTATTTTCTATATAGTAAGAGAAAGGTGTGACTCTGTAAGGTAGTTAATATCTTTGTGAATGATTGTCCTCTTTAGCTTACACAGATAGTCAGCACATATACACAGTGCATTGAGAGAGAGACAGAAAAAGATTTAATGATATGTTCTGTAATTACTGAGATCTTTTTCTTATGGTTGTTTTCTGTGTGTGCTTTTAAGAAATAGAGTGTTTAAAGATGTTGGATGGGGATTCATGTGATAAAGCCAGAAGCCAAAGCATCCGTTATTTTAGTATTCTTTTAATTTCTTAGGTATCATTGCCCGTGTTTGTTTATATTCCACGTATTTGTTCATCTCTATTCATTAGTTTTATCTTGGTGTATTAATCATTTTATAGAGAAAGAAAATATTATGTTGCTGTGATAGTAACTCCTTGCTGTGTTCATGCTCCTAATCATGCAAAGAGAGAAAGAGAAGAGGAGATCAGGAGACACTCTTCAGAGTGGTCAACTTTCTCTGGGATTAGTTTGCTTCGAATCATTCAATGTTTTAAAAGGCTTACATATATATACATACATATATAATGGGTGTTTTCACAGACTTTGGGAAGTTATTGCTTTATAATATAAAAATTATATTTTTGACATTTTTCATTATTAATTTACAAGGTTTCTGTAATATTCTGTAATATTGTAAGTCAATAAACATCAGTTAAATAGGAATTTGTAGGTTTATTTTTCAATATATTTAACATAGGTGATGCTCTTGCAAAATTTTATGACTTCTATGATATTGCTTTTATTCAGAAGGCAGCATTCCATCATCACATATTTTTGTTTTAATCTAGAAACTGTCTTTAATTTCCACCTATATGTCACTCTAAAATCTAATCTACTGGAACTAGAATCTAAAATAATATGTAACAATAAAATCACTCTTAAAAATATAAAATTTTATATTTCATTGATTTTGCTATTAAAGAATAAAGGGATATAAGCAAACTACATCTCTAACGTTTCTTCGTAATTCTCAATATCCCCCATTCCCAATATGCACTGTATCTGAAATCAGAAGTTAACATAATTATAGTGTGCTAGATTTGTCTGATAAAAAAAAACACACACATTCACAAACTAATTCGATTTGTTTACTTACAGAAAGTCACATCCTGGAAGATGTCAACAAGTGCATCATAGCCTTAAGAGACCAGGATGCCGATAATTTGGACCGTGCTGCAGGTGCTATCAGGGGCCGGGCGGCAAGAGTTGCTCACATCGTCACAGGTGAAATGGACGGTTACGAGCCAGGGGCTTACACTGAAGGTGTGATGAAAAACGTTAACTTCCTCACAAGTACTGGTAAGTCTCAGTCCCCAATAACAGCTGCACTGTTTCTGATATTTAAATGTACACAGCTAGCAAATATTCCATATCTACATAAAAGAAATCTCAGTCTGTGTTGCATATTTTGACATACATTGCTATACTACCTGGTGCTTGCATACTGTGGTTATGTTATTTTAAATTTATTTTTGAGAAGTAAATATATTCATTGGCAAAGAGGTCTTTTATAAATATGCACATTATATAAATTACCCAAAGGCCTTAGCCACTTGTGAATGTTTATTAATGTAAGAGCTGTTAGGAGATATAATTAGGCCAGTATGGTATTAAGTATGTAATAGTCTCCAAACCCTCTTTTAACTGCATCATTGATACCCTCAGGTTTTTTTTTTTTTAATATATATTACTTAAACACAGCAATTTTGTCCTTTGTTTTCAGAGAAATGCTCTCTTCCTTCATCTGCAGACTTTTTGAAAAACAGTATTTTGTTCTTGCATTTAATCTTCTTTGATTGCATAAGAAATATGGAACTAGGATTTTGTTCTGGTTGCAGCACCCGTTAATATTTTCTAAAATCAGCCAGTAAATGTTTAGTTTTGAATCACTCAGTAAAATGACATTCTTATTTTTAGCATTATTATTAAACTCACATAAATGTCTGAATTCATATGGATTTACAGACAATGAGGGCAGTCATTATTTTTACAAGTCATCTTGGCAGAACTCCTTCCTGTGAAAATCCTTAGTGACTTTGTGAAATCCTTAGGTTGAATTTTTTTACTGTTGTCTCTTAACGCTAAGGTGATGGTCATTCTGTGGTTACTAAATATTTGAAATTCCATACTTAAGTTATCTATACTATAGAATCATTCTTTATGTTATGCATATGGCATATTAAAATTTGAAAATATGCACATTGTTGAGCAAAAGGAGTAGAAGGGACAAGGATGGGTAATTTTTAAATTTTTCTTTGCTTTTTTTTTTTGGAGGGTGGCTGTTCTTTGCAATTAATTAATTAAGAGAAACATAATAAAAGTTGAAAAATCTTCACTAGAAACTAGTTCTGAAGAACTGTGCCACAAGGCAAGTTTAGCAAGAAAATTGATGATTTTCCTAACATGTTGATACAGAAAAGCATTGATGAAGCTGGGCAGAGTTTTCTCATTATCTCTTAAAGTAGTGAAATGCAAATAATGTGCTAAGGAAAGATGGAAAGGTGTATCTGCAACTCTTGATATTAAACTTATATTTTTATACCCACTCCTCAAAGTCACGGGTGTCAATAGGGCACACAGTAGGTGCTTTTTCAATTAGGTGTGGTGATACATTTACTTAAAAAGATGATTGTGTTCTGGTCATTCAGTATCTCTTCCCTAAACTAGATTTAAGTGATCCTTTCTACTTGGTCAAAATCAAGTACAGAGTTTTCTGTGTCCCTGATTTTTTTCTATCTTTTGAGAATGGAATGTATATAAATGAAGAATGTTTCAGGGGTTCTTTTTTAGCTAAATAAAAATTTCCTATAGGGAATTGAATGGGTAAAATCTACCAGGGCTACTATATCTTGCCTCTGTTTCAGTTTTATAATCTTATTAGTAAATCTTGTGAACATGCTCTTTATAATCATAATGTCTATGTGAGGTGCCAAATTTATAGTTTTATACTGCACAAGGAAAGAGTTTATGTATGCCATAGTCAAAGAAAGAAGTGGAAGTGAAATTCTATAGTGTTCAGAATGTGAAGTATATTGTGGAAAACTGTTTACAATCAATCTGAAATCAGTAAATAATGAAACAAAATTAATTACACATTTAATTACAATTTTGTTCATTCCTCTGTGATTTATAATGATCTTACCAGATAACCAACCAATACAGCTACATCATCACAATCAGAAGAGAAAGAAGCCCTTTTTCCTCTAATTAGTTGTATATAATTTTAATTAAAATCCTCCAGGTAGATTGTGCTCTATATCCCAAATATAATGAATATAGAAAAATCCTGGGTTATTCTATATAAATAATACATTATTAATAAAGCAATGTATTAATAGTTTATAACTCTCCAATTTTGTCATTTTAGTTTTTTAGATAATATTTTTGGTGAATCTTTGAAAAAAAGCTTTTCATTTTTGTTTATGTCTAATTTTAAACTTTTCTCCAAACAGCTTTCCTTAAAATTTATCAAAAACACGCCTCACTAAAGGGAATTCTGAGCAATAAATTAGATGAAAAGCTAATTAGATCAGTTTGATCTTAACCAAAGCTGAAAAATGTGAGCATTTTTTCTCCCATAGTGATATTGTCTATGAAAAATACTTCCAACTATTCTATCCTCCACAATTAACAGGAGATATTTATCTTTGTTCACATCTCCTTCATATCCTAGACTTATTATTTATAAATAATTATCAAATTAAATAATTGGAAATGTCATGATTGGTGTAATGAAGATTTAATAGTTCACATTTTACCAAGTGAATAGTAATATATGTGTCCTTTTTTTCCCTTTGTTTCTTATTCTTTTATGTAGTCCTCAGGTCTTAACCCTGCTCTTGAAAATAACTTAATGAGGAACAATTGTGAGTTGTTTTTATTACTGAGACTTCAAAGACTTATTTTGTAAAATTGTCTTTAAAGTATTGTCATCAAGGATGAAACCCAAGCCATACTTATCTAAATCACAAAGAGTGTTTTTAGAACATAGCACCTTTGATTTTAATCAGACAGTTGTGGCTCATTAACACCTTTTCAAGATTTGATGATCCTCTAAATATTTTCTCAGCATTAGGAAGCAAAGTTGCCTTGTTACATTTCAGGAATTCATATTGTTCACAGACCCTAGAAGTTTTGAGCAAAATTTAGTCAACATCTGGATTGCTCTATTTCACTCAGACAGAGGCATGACATTGTAATCTCCAGGTGTAATTATTTTTCCACCCCATACTTCCCTGTTACTAAGCTCCTCCTCTTGTCAGGGGACATGAGGACGAACTTGATAGGAAAGAGAAAATATATTGGCTTTTTTTTTTTTTTTTTGATAAATAACAAACCTTCTGGATTACAGTTTGAAGGCTTATAAGTCACACTCTTAATAACCACTTCAGTTCTTTCCTAGTAGATTGGGAAAATACCTAAATCAGTAGTGGACTGACATAGTATATTTTTGTGTGGTTTATGGACTCTATCAAATCCATAAATTAGGAGGCCTGAAGGCATCTGTTTCAAACCTCCAAACCCCACCTGGTTTTACTGTCAGCCAGGCTCATGGACCAAAACAGAAAAGGCATATAAATGAACCTGACCAAGACATCCTGGTGGCATCCTGTTGGTAACTGGTAGTGATGGCAAATAAAGCTTCATTCATCAAGTACCCAATGAAGCCCGAATTGGAACGTGTGTATCCAGAATTCCCTCCTTCTTAGAATGGAGAAGAGCCATATAGTTACATTTCTTTAAATCAAAGGCAAATGAGACAGTTGAAAATAATTTTGAGCCAACAAATACTTCTGAAATTTTGTTGTGAAGTTTTCTTCAGACTAGTTAAACAGCAGATAGACTTTTAAGATGTATTTCATTTTAAAATTAGTTTTAAAAACTTTAATAGCAATCAGTAACCCTATCAGTCCCATTTCATTCAATGTGTTTTATTGACTTCTCTTTCATTTTAGTATGTTTTATTTGCTAAGTTCTATAGCTTGATTAAAAAAATGCTACCTTCCTTATGTTGCTTCTCTGTCCTACAACCTTAAGTAGTTAAAAGATAAAAACCAACTCAGGGAAGGACATACTATATCAAAAAATAGTAGTTGGGAAATTGAATAGCCATATGTAGAAGAATGAAACTGGATCGCTATCTCTCACCCTATACAAACATTAACTCAAGATAGATAAAAGACTTAAATGTAAGATGTGAAATCATAAATATTCTAGAAGAAAATCTAGGAAAAACTCTTCTGGACATTGGCTTAGGCAAAAAATTTATGACTAAGACCCCAAAAGCAAATGCAACAAAAACGAAAGTAGACAAATGAAACTTAAACTGAAAATCTTCTGCACAGCAAAATAAATAATCAAAAGAGTAAATAACCTACAGAATGAGAGAAATTATTTTCAAACTATATATCCTTAAAAGGACTGATATCCAGAATCTACAAGGGACTCAAACAACTCAGGAAGGAAAAAAAACAAAAAAAAACAAAAAAAATCACAAACATTAAAAAATGGGCAAATGAACATTTTTCAAAAGAAGACATAAAAATGGCCAAGAAACATATAAAAATGTTCAATATCACTACTCATCAGAGAAATGAAAATTAAACCCAAATAAGATAATATCTTACTCCAAATAGAATGACCATTATTAAAAAGTCAAAGAAACAATAGATGTTGGCATGGGTGCAATGAAAAGGGAATGCTTATACACTGCTGGTTGGAATGTAAATTAGTATAATCCCTATGGAAATTAGTATGGAGATTTTTCAAAAAACTAAAAGTAGAGCTACCATTTGATCGAGCAGTTCCACTACTGGGTATTAACCCAAAGGAAAAGAAATCATTATATCAAAAAGATACTTGCAGTTGTAAGTTTATTTCAGCATAATTCACAATTGCAAAGATAGGGAATCAACCTAAGCACCCATTAATTGGCGAGTAGATAAAGAAAATGTATTATATGTATACTATGGAGGACTACTCAACCATAAGAAAGAGTGAAATAATGTCTTTTGCAGCAACTTGGGTGGAACTGGAGGCTAGTACCCTAAGTGAGGTAACTCAGGAACAGAAAAATAAATGCCATATGTTCTCACTTATAAGAGGGAGCTAAGTTATGGCCACAGAAGGACACACAGAGAGGTATAATGGACACTAGAGACTTAAAAGGAGGGAGTGTGAGAGGGGATGAGGGATGAAAACTTACCTATTGGCTACAATGTACACTACTCAGGTGATGGGTACACTAAAAGCCCAGACTTCACCCCTATACAATATACATGTAACAGAATTAAACTTTT